TATTTTCCAAACTTGGAGATTTTTAAGATGTTTTTTGGCAAATGTGAGACAAACCTTTGTGTTCTTTTTTGTGAACAGTGTTCTTTTTTTTTACCAGGCTCTTTCTTATTGTTGAATCATGACCTCTGACCTTAACTGAGGCAAGTGAGGGCTGCAGTATTTTAGATGCGGTTCTGAGTTTTGTGACCTCCTGAATGAGTCGTTGATTTGCTCTTGGTGTAATTTTGGGAGGCTAGCTACTCGGGAATAAGTTCATCACTGTTACAAGTTTTCAACACTTTTTGATGATCAGATTGTTCAGAATGAACAACGGGCTGTGAGGTCAGTTCCTTGACATGATCCAGGAACTGACCTCACAGCCCGTTGTTCATTCGGTGGGCTGGTTTCCGATGTTGTGCAAATGTCCTGTTTATAAGGCTGGGGAAAGCTGCGGTCAGCTGAGAACAAAGAAGTCACTTGGATGAGTGACGAAACGTTTCTGCCACTGAAAACGCTGCGTCCAGATGAACAGAATCAACCTTTGGGGTCTTCACCATGGCTCACTGGAGTCTCACAGCCTTAGAAATGGCTTCGTAACCCTTTCCAGGCTGATAGATGTCACTGACTTTCTTTCTCAGTTGTTCTCGAGCTTCTTTAGATCAAGGAATGATGTTTCTTTTTGAGATCTTTTAACCTACAAAAATCAAAAGCTCTAAGATATCAGGACAAGGGTAAATTTTTTTTTCATTCACATAATATGTTCATATGTTTGCATCTAATTATTTTGCTTACTCCAAGATATCAGTGCATTTATGATATGTTTACTTTCTTCATATGTGGTTTGTTTGTTGCACAGTGGTGTGAGTTATCTTTGAGGGAGCTGAGCTCACAGCTGGCTGCTTAGTTGAACTAATTTCTGAGTTATTGCATCTTTTTCTTCTTCTTCTTCCTTTGGGGGTATTCAAAAGTAAGGACACTAGTGTCATAATAAGCTGCAGAGAGGACCCAGCAGGCTGGTTGAACAATAATACGTAAGCTTTTTATTAACTAAAAACTAGAATTCCCAGAAGGCAATAAAAACAGGAATCCTAGAAAGGTTTGACGTAACAAGGGAGAAACAAGAGTAAGATACGTCAAGAACAAGCAGATAAATGTGCACACAAATGCACAGACAAACACAGACAAACACACCACTACCACCTCTCACTCACAGTCATGTTATTAAATGTCTGATGCCATAAATCAGACAGGAAATGAACCCTGTCATTGGTAAACATGTTGTCTGATCACCTTCTGCTTTGTTGATTACGTCAGGTTTTAATCACATTTACTCTCCATGAGAGTGCTATCAGCTGCACGAAGAGAAAAATATAGTTATCAAGTGGAAAAAGCATCAGTGCATCTGCCCATCTCAGACTCCCAGTGACTGTCAGTCTGTCTGTGGCCTTCTCGGCCTTCAGCTCACTCATTACTACTGACAATACGTTTTTTAACTGGGTTGAAAATACACAATTTGATTGTTATTAAAGTTATTCCATTTCCTACAAATGTTTCCTATAATTGTATGTATCTCTGACAGATGAATAAAATTCTGTTTCCAGCAGCAGGATGGAGTGCATGGCCCTGACTCTGAATGAGCTACACTGATGATGTGATGTTTAACAGGTCCTGCCTGAAGGTTGCAGGTTTGTTGGAAATACAAAAAAAAGAAGTGTGTGTGTGTGTGTGTGTGTGTGTGTGTGTGTGTGTGTGTGTGTGTGTGTCTGTGTGTGTGTGTGTGTGTACACACTGGTCCTTTTTAATTACATGAACAATAATAATATTAATCATGGTGGCGCTTTCAGGCTCAGCTGGGTGAGCTGCTGCTTAAATTAATCTGTTATGCTAGCGCTGCCTCTCCCCGGTCTGTCACCTGTGACATGCGTCAACTTTATCAGGAAAGCATTACAGCTCTGCAGCAACTTCTCAAAGCTTCCACATTTTCAGTTTTAATTAGTGGAACAGCGACTCCAGGAAGTGGGATTTGCTGAATTTTAAAGCCCAGTTCATAAGTGATAGGCTCATTTAAATAAAACCAATTTTCCACTGCACACAAATGACACGTGATTTTTGATTTCATGTTACAGATTCAAGTTTATTTAGCAGTTGCTGCAAAGTCACAACAAACAGGAGAAACATTTTCACCACACATTAGAACAGTTGATTATGACTGCAGAATATTTGTATTAGCAATTTTAGTAGCATTATTCTTTAAAACTAGCTGAACAAATTATGAATGAGCTCTTTTTAGTGTCAAAGAAACATGAGGGGTACTTCCCAAAGTGGGACCTGCACAGGTCCACATGTCCTCCTGAGTCATGCTGCTCACTGCGATAGCCAAAGATATGCTAAACTACTCTGAACCGAATAATTAATCTAAGCTTGCACTGCAAGAACTAATCTGGGGTATGTGTGTCGAAGGTTTTCATTATGAAATTGTATGAATTAATGTAAGTTATAGTTGAAGCACAGAATTCAGCTGAAGCTCACAGTGACTTTACTGGGCAGGCCTATCCTTAACCATAATTCGTAACCTATGAAAACACTTAGTTATATTTAGAGTGCACACTTTTAATTAAAGGTCCTGGTCTGTTAACCTACTTTCTTATTTTGTCTTAACTTCTTGCTCTTGTTTTCTTTGCACTGGGGGGTACAGCTGCTGAGGGAGTGAAAGGAGCAGATCGGTACTGGCTGTTAAATACATGAAGTTATGAATGGATTGTACCAATTTTTGCGATATCATGGGTGGAAGAGATGATGAAACTAGTTACTTTAAATATGTTGTTCATATCATTTGACTTAGTTATTTAGATATTTTGGGTTTGATAACCATTAAGTGAAAGTAATAATTGAAAAGTAAGTTATTTTATTTCGTTTTTTGTAATCAGGTCATGTATTAGTGCGTGTCACCAATACGTGCTCAAGTTTATCTGATCAACACGTATTCAAGCTCCCATTCTTCTCTTGGATGTTAGGTGAGTTTATCTGAGCAGTTAGTTTATTACTCAGTTATATGTTAGCACTACAACGTAAGTTTTGTTTTGTTTATCTCCTTTAAAAGCTCCACCAAAACCAAAAATCTGACTTTTTTTGTTTAATTATTTTACATTTTCTGTAAAAAATTTTTTTTTAAACTACATGACTTTCCTCATGCTTGACCAGCTCAAGTAACAGTGACTGACTGATGTTGCACAACATTAAATTAAGTAAAGTTTTGTCCAAATATAATCTTATAAGCTGTATAAAAGTATAAGTATGAAAGCATAAAAAAAACCTTAATTACACAACAATATCTGTGTTCATTTAACATAAACAGCACTAGCGAGGCTGGTAAATATAAAATGGTAACTGACCCATTCAGAGCACCAGGTAGCAGAAACCAAACAGGTCCAAAAGTAATGAGGCAATGCGAGAGGAAGTGATATGTTGATTCATAAACAGGTTTTAACCTGGGTTACACGTTTATTATACTAGGAAAAAATATTAGGAACACTTTTCAATATGCAGTGAACCACCTCCTACTGCAACTTTAATGAGCATAAAAGAACAAAACTGGAATCTGTGCTGTTGTTTTGGGTTTCATTAGACTGCGTATGTGTTCTTAATAAAGTGGTTGGTTTAAAATATGGATTATTAACAGGCCACGGCTCCTACTTAGTTCTCCACAGCATCCTGAGCACAGGTGTGTTGCTCTGAAGCAGAACAGTACTTTTTCTCAGGCTTCTTGGTTCAGTAAAGACTGCAGGTTGAGAAGCACTCGTAGAAAATGTGTGATGTAATGTGTGATAATGTTATCTCACCAGATAAAACATAATCTGTGCGTGCAATGATCCACAGTTAGACTTATCAGCACGAGAGGATTTTAGTGTAACCGAGTTTAAAAGTTTAAAAGTGATCAGATATAGTCCGATTTTAGACTCACAGAAACTTTATCTTCGTTTTTTAAACTAAATATTGACGTGAATGAAACGCTGTGGTGACTCATAGCAGACAGTAAAAGCTCAGCGTGTACGAAGTGCCATCGAAATCAATCGAACTTGAGACACGCCTCGAAACTTCTGAACGGGAAATGGCAAACAAATTGCTCAACAAAATAAAAGCCTCGTTGGTCAAGACAGCTGGGAGCGACACAGAAAGTTTTGAGGAGGAGAAACATCACGAAACCCAGGTCACTGATATTCTGTTAGTTATTAGGAGAGAAAAACAGATACGAATAAATAAAAAAGCACTTTAAACCTATCAAAGAACATAAACAGAATCTATATTGTATAAACATGAGTTGATACAAAAATGGACAAAAAATAATGAGGAAAAAGCACAAAATATCAAACCAACTCTTAGTAGTTCAGCTTCATTCCTGCTCATTTTTGCAAAAGGTCGAACTCTTACACTCCACACTCATAGCGTTTAACTATATAAAGTGACCAGAAACCTATTATACAAGAATATACAGTGACAACAACAAATGCCATGCACTTTAGTCTCTATATCACAACATGTTAAAAAGTGGCATTATCTCTGGGACACAAATCTTTAAAAATATGCATCTGATGTAAATAATAACAGGTCCATAGTTTTTGTTTTAAAAAGTATTGTTTGAGTTTCATAAAATGTTTGCACACACACTGCATTGGAGCTTTTTTATTTTTTTATTTGCATTACTCCCTAAAAAGTGAACTTTTTGTTTTATAAATAATTTCAATTAACTAAATATCTCCTGAGCTTTTAAAGGAATCTGTTGACATCTTTAAGATGTAAAATTTCACCTGCTTTTTGTGCCTTCACTCTAATACTGTTTTATGTGCTCTGGTTCTCAGTGACGTTTTGTTTTGTTCTTTCTCAAGATGAAATGAAGATGCTTTGTTCACTGCTGAACATCTAGGTTCTTTATTAGCACGAATAAAAGTAAGAAATAGAGGACTACCTTTTGAATAACATGGCTTTACTTTGAAGTCCCCGGACAGGAAACAGCCTTCAACGTTTCCCTAAACTTGCAGTGTTTCCAGGAGTCCTCAGAGTCTCAGAGCTGACTCCGCTGCTGGAGGTGTTTGATCGGGATCATGGAGCTGGTCTTTCTGTCAGCCTGTCCCTCTCTGCACCTCTAACCCTCCAGCTGCCCCACTATGGCGCTCCCGGTAAACGACTCCTGCTCCGTGCCTGACCTCCCCGAGTTCAATCGGTCAGAGGACGACGGACACACACCGGAGTCGGTGATTGTGCCGGTGGTGTTCGGGATCATTTTCGTGTTGGGGGTGGTGGGGAACATTTTAGTGCTAGTAGTGATAGGGAAGGTGGGGTACAGCGCAGGTGGGGGAGGCGGCGGTGGAAGTGGAGGAGGAGTTGGGAGGCGCTCGCTTAGCCCGACCAACATCTTCATCCTGAACCTGAGCGTGGCGGACCTCGGCTTCCTGCTCTTCTGCGTGCCCTTCCAAGCCACCATTTACACTCTGCCGGAGTGGGTGTTCGGGGCCTTCCTCTGTACGTTTGTACACTACATCTTCACCGTCAACATGCTTGTGAGCATCTTCACGCTCGTGGCCATGTCCGTGGACCGCTACATTGCCGTGGTGCGCTCCAACAAATCTCTGAGCGTCCGGAGCCCAAGGAACGCACTGGCAGGGCTGTGCGTCATCTGGACGATGTCTCTGGTGTGCTCGGTGCCGGTGGCCAAGCACCAGGGCCTCATTAGCTACCACAACGGAACTTTCTGCTGGGAGGACTGGGCCGGAGCCTCCAAAAACGCCTACAAAGTGACCCTCCTGGTGTTGGGGTACCTGCTACCGCTGCTCCTCATCAGCTGCTGTTACACTAAGGTCAGTTCAAAATAGGAGGCATTTAACGGGGTAATGTTTGACTCCCAGCTGCAGTAAAACAGGCATTAAGAACAGAGCAGAAGGTCCAAAGGCCGTGCACAAAGTCCTGCAGATCATAAAAGCTGTGCGTAAAAACGCGCGTGAGGCGCGCACTCACCAGCACCGGTGTGGCGCTTCAGAATAAAACCAATTCAATAGGTCAGCTTAATGTGGGTCACATGTGATAAACCGATATGACCAAACTATGATAACATCATACAAAATACCCAGCTGAAGTTTCAGAATAAACGCACCAGACGCAGGTAAGAAGCTTTTGCTTCATCGTAATGATTATCGAGACATTTCCCAGAGGTTAAATATTCGTTTCCCCAACTGTTTTATTTAAATGAAACTTAACATCAAATATGGTTCATTTTCTTTAAACCAGGCAGTAAAAACATCAGCATCCTAGACCCCTGATAACCGGTTTAATATCCATCCTCTGCATTTAAATTTATGATCAGACTGTCAGAGATCTGTGAGCGTCAAAGCTGATCTGTTATAAGTCAGTCATAAATAACCGTTCAGCGATACCTGTAGCAGTTATTATCAGTTTATGTGTAAAATATTTTCTGATTCATTCATTAATTGCTTTAAAACGCAATTAATCACATTTTCTGCTAATAAAAGTCTGGAATCCAGCCAAAGAAAAATCTCTGAACACGTTTGCACTGTTTAATAAACAAATAATACAAAAATATTAATTTTACATATAAATTCAGTTCTGATGGGTTAACCATTTGCTCTCACTTATTTAATAAACAAACAAAACTTACAAAATAATAAGTATTAAATGAGTACAAGTCCGTCCTTCCATCAGCTTATCCCCTTCAGGTTCACAGGGGGGCTGGAACCAATCCCAGCTTGCCACTGGAATGTGAAAAATGTATTTATTTTATTGGCGAAGTGCTTTTAATACCTACAGATTGTTGACTTGAACTACACATTGATTAGATTAAACAGATTTAAAATGAACATTTCTGTTGCTTCCTGAAAGTGGCTGTAATTCGGTTACCAGGGAACTAATTAATAAATAAATTCACAATAAATTCCAGGTTCATTTATTTGGATTTTTTTCACGGTTAAAGTCACTTATCAGATAAAAGTGTCAAGCTGAAGTAGCACAGAGTCAGTTTGTGTTTATGTAACAGCCGACTGTCACAATAAAAGTCCTCTGGTGTGGCCTGTGACTTCCTCCAGCGGGCATCTAACTGTGTAACTTTAACCTTCAGCTGCTGATATGAGTACAAGTTGACCAAGTTGATGCATTTGCTGTTTACAGACCAGTTGATCCGTTTTTGATAAATCATTAAGAAGTATTTCCTTCAAAATTAATCTGTCTGCTCTACTTTTTCTCTCCAGATTTTATTTCATCTCCATAAAAAAATGAAGAACATGTCCAAGAAGTCTGAGCGCTCCAAAAAAAAAGTAAGGGTCTCCTCTTCCTTCTGTGCTGCGCTGCATGCAGGGAGACCAAGCATACGATTACCTTCTGTGGAAGAATCACTCAGTTGTAAATGCATTACACATGGCTCGTGAATTAAAAAGGCTGCAGGTGTTCCAGCTTTTATTTTTAATGAGTTGTTGGAAAGACAGCTTGCTGTTTCCTGTAAGTAAACTTTCATCCAAACTGGTAGGGACTATGGGTCTGGTACTGGTACAGCAGCAAGCCAGTGCACAGTATTATCAAACCATACAGGAAAAAGAGAGAGTCAAAACTGAAAACGAGCACCAGCGGGCTGTTTGAACACTGTTACTGTTACGATGAAGAGATGCTGAGGAGGATTCCCTGTAACAGGATGATTGGCAGCTGTATTAACTGTAAGAAATGAGTTATTTTATATGAAACTTTTGGCTGCCAGGCTATGTTTTTTTTCTCCCAGAATATAAACAGGTTCTTTAATTTAAAAAAAAAGGAAACAGGTTCATTATGAAGAACTGGCTCATCTTAAAAGGTTTTGCCTGAAAAAGAAACTTATGAGCTCCTCTAAAACAATAGCAGCTGGCACTGAAGGTGGTCTTTTCTTCTTGGCGCTGTCCTCTCTGTCTTCTTTCTCTGTGAGCCACATGGAGAGAACAGTTACGTTTAAAGGAGAGATAAGAAAAGGAGCGTTAGCAGAGCTTGAACGTTGATCTGTTTTTCTTACAGGAAACACAGCTCAGTTCGGGAGATAAAGAAGCTGTAACAGGGATGACGTGGAGAGGGTAGTTTTAAAAAAAACTAATAAGAAAAAAGTGGTGCCTACCTGAATGCACATGCAGCCATCTTGTTTTATCAGCAAATATTTTTTTGTTTTTGCATATATTTTGTTTTTTAGAAATGCATATGCTTATAACTCTGGTGCTTAGCATATAGAAGTGATTCACAAACTAGAATGTTTAGTGGTAAAAAGAAACCGCATTCATTTGAAATGTGGGGAAACGTTGCCCATCTCGAGCATCTCTTCTGGAGCATGTTGCCGCCGTGTTTGCATGGGTTCTCTAGCTTTTTATCTTCTCTACAATAAGTTGTAATCCTTAATTGAAACAGCATCTGAGTTGTTAGAGCAAAGAGTCTGGTGTAAGACAGCACCTGTTTCTTTTAGGTCTGGTGGACCTCCCCCATGGCATTTCATACTACGCCAAAATAAATAAGTAATAGATAAACAATAAAATATCAGAAAATTTGTGTTTTTTCACTATGTACCATAAAAACGGATAATTTTCACGGTAACAAAAAGCAAAACAAAATACATATTCTGCCAGTTAAAAAATGTCTGATTTTGGATTACGGGACGGTCTGCGTAATGTGCTAATAGAACTGTTTCTGTAATTTTACACATTTATTTCTTAGAATTTAAGCCCAAATCAAATCAGCATTTCTTTATAGAAAAAAAGAGATGTCTTTTTGAAATTGGACTTCTTTCCCTTGTATTAGAATATCAAACTGATTACATCTGTACTTGAACATCAGTTTTCTGTCACGCTGAGGAACTCTGAATGTCTTTTCTCTTTGCTGGGGGTGGGCCAGTTAGCGTCTTTACCAGGCATGGCTCTATGAGGGGGCTATGTCTCCTTTTTCAGATTGCCGACACTTTGCTTTCAGAGACCCTGCCAGGGGCATTTGTCACCAGCAATACTGATCTTGGGATTAATTGAGCAAGGACACCCCCATCACACCATGATAAGGGTGGAGAGGTATTTGAAACTAATGAAGTTGATTTTTGTTATTCTATTTAAAATGTATGCTTTGGTCTGCATAATATGGAACCTCAGGTTTAAAGCCACTGAGGGAACAAGAAAAAATCAATATAATATGATTAAACATCACCATCACAGTCAAACCTGTTCAGCCAGCAGCTCAGTTGTGTTAGCTCACCTGCCCCATCATGTAGGTCATAGTATGCCCAGAGTGTGACAGCTGTGGAGCAGTAGAAGTTCAACATGACAGGTGTGGGCGACAAGCCTCAAAGATTGAGTTACTTGGTCCTAGCTGGCAGGCGACAGTGTGCAGATCTCCCGTACCAACAGATCAGAGAGACATTAGCTACAGGCAATTTACAACAAAGTATCTGCTGTTTCTCGGGTCAGTGGAGCAGGAATAAACGCTACTGGGTAAATATTTAGACAACAGGACTAAGAATAGAGGAGATTCCCACAAAGTCTGAAGAGGAGAGAAATGTTGGGCCTTCATTCACACCAGTTCCATCCTCTGTGGAAACAAGAGACACCATAACACTGATAACAATTATGTAAGCGCTCACGTCAGATTGATGTTTCAGTGTCACGGAAACACCAGCCAGCTGAGTTCTTTGTGAGGACATACTGCTGTATATATAAATATATCCCAGCTCGCCCTGTGGACGGTCTTTATCCTTCAAGCTCGGATCCACCAGACCCAAGTCAACCAGAGGACTCGGGCCTTGAGGGTCCTGGGCTGTATCGTTCCCAGGACTGCGCTCTTCTGGACAGATTCCTTGGATGACGTTTCTGGGATCTGCTGGAGTCAACAGCCTAGTTTGAGGGTCACTGCCCCGAGTGCTCAGATCAGACCATTTTTTGCCATCACCCTCCACATCTCTCAAGCTCCTTTCTCAGTCCTTGGTACTTCTTGAACTTTTCACGTTCCTTCTTCCTGATGTTGTTATCCTGTCTTCCTCTGCTTGTCCACCACTATGTCCAACTGGTTAGCCCTCACCAGTTTGTCCCTCTGTATCTGGAAGTCCCACAGGATCTTGCCTTGGTCATTCTCAACAACCCAAGGATCACCTGCAGGGCGTAGGTCAGGGGTGGGCAATTCCAGGCCTCGAGGGCCGGTGTCCTGCAGGTTTTAGATCTCACCTTGGGTCAGCACACCTGAATCACATGATTAGTTCGATACCAGGCCTCTGGAGAACTTCAGGACATGTTGAGGAGCTAATTTAGCCATTTAAATCAGGTGTGTTGGTTCAAGGACACATATAAAACCTGCAAGGACACCGGCCCTCAAGGCCTGGAGTTGCCCACCCCTGGCGTAGGTGTTGATTGCCTGGGTCGTGTTCTTCCTCTACAGCTCACTCCTCAGAAGTTGCATTATTCTCTGCAGGATTTTGGTGGGTGTGACTTTCCTTGTGGCCTCTTCATGGTCTTCATTTTCCTATTCCCAGGCACTTGCAGCTGCCCTCGATGTCTGTACACAGCAAATCCAGCATGTCCAAATTAACACTGTCGGATTTGATTTCAACACTATTAAAGTGTCTATATGGGTCCACACCAGAGAGTGTTAATTTAACTCTTTTTGGAGAGTTGGTACGTTAACTCTAATTTAGTGTTAAACACCAAATCTGTCTGGAGTTGATAATTTAACACTTGGTGTTAAGAGTTTATATATTAACTCTCAAAGAGTATTTTAGTTTAACTACGTAAGAGTTATCTTCTAATTCATTCTAAAAAGTGGGAATTTTCCTGTTCTGAACTTCTAGACATTTCTTTTGGAAATAAACATTTACTAAAAAGATGCAATGGTTTTTGAAAAACATTTATTCTGAACTGTGCACCACAATTTCAAAACATTTTCTGAAAGATGTAACAGTGTACATGTTCTCACTTTCATTAGAATTTTGTTTATCAAAAGGTCTGACATGGTAAATGCAAATAACAGCATTCTCATCACTTATTTCTTCAATACAATATGCATGTCCTTCATTCATCCCTTTGTGGAACTTCAGCGCACTTCTGCTCTCCCCCATATTCCATCTTCACAAGCATATCCTGTGTGGAGATTGAATAAAAATTAGTTGACACTAATTAATGGCACAAATAATCCAGTAAACAATTGCAGCACAGTAAAAAAAAAAAAAGGAATCCTCTTTGAGTCATTACTTGTGTAAAGTATTTTCCCAAAAGACAAAGACACAGGCAACAGGTAATACTGAACTAAATGTAAAACCTCAACCTTTTTCATTTTTACCTAAACCGTGTGCACAAAACTCTGGAGGGATCTATGCTAACGTAGAATCCAGTCAGGACGTCAGCTACTGCTTTTTGCTCGTTTGTTTGTTTGTTTTTATGGGCGATCGTTTTCAGGCTTCAAGTAGCACCATTATACCAACATTTCACATTCTACACATTGTTTTAGGTGTATTTGACCAAAAGTTTGACTGAAAATTCACATGCAAGCTTTTTTTCAAGGCTGTGGTATTTGCCCGCAAACAATACCTTTCAGCTAGCTAAAACAGAATATTATGCTATCAGCGAGCAACATGGCTAATGCCTTTCACACAGCTTTGTCTCAACTCCAAAGAGCCACAGAAGTAAAAGCTCATAATAACAATTGAAACAATCTTTGGAAAAAGCGACTTACCAAGCATGGCAAACAACTCAAATATGTAGAGCAAAATGTTCTGAAACGGCTTCACTTCAGCTTCGATTGGAGCCGTGCTGGGGGCGGAGTCTGTGAATTTACTCTGTTGGTGTCATAGCCCCTGTAGGAGTTCGGAGTTAAGAGGTCAAGAGTTAATGTTTCCATTGTAACACCTCCAGATTTGACAGAGAAACACTCATTTTTAACACTCGATTTTAACTACTATCATTTTACACCTCAGAGTTACATTAAAAGAATGTGACTCTGCTTAGAGTAAAATTAACTCTACTTTTGCAAGAAGACTATTAACACCAAAACATTTAACACTTTTGAATTTGCTGTGTAGTGTAAATTTCTGGTAGTGCAATCCCCTCAGTTCTGGCTACCTTCCTTCTCTCTGTTACCATCTGACTACACATCTGTAGTCCGAATGACATTCTGATGTGATTGCTGTACCTCCTTGTGGTGTGTATCAGTGAATTGATTTCTCGTTCATGTTGGGTTGCGTCCTCATCCCAGATGCTCTTAAAGTATTGCTCTGTCTCCAGCTGTAGTGGGGCTGTTCTCATACTGTTCCCCTACCTTGGATGGTTCAGTGGAGAACATC